AAAAAAACCCTGCTAAAATCTGCAAACGGCATGAGCCTCATGGAGGTTCATCTTCCAGCAGGAAAATAACCCCTAAACAATCAGAGTTACAATGAAATGATTGACATCAAAGCATAGTGTGGTACTTCAGATTTGGATCCAATTGAGAATTCATGGAAAAATGTGAAAATTTACAGACGTTCCCATTCCAACCTGACACAAAGAATGCTTTACTAAGTGAAAGAAATTTTTACTATGTCAAAGAAAGGGCACACACTTCTGTCCCTAGATATAATTTTGAAATTCACGCACATCATTTCTCTTTCACTTCACAATTACAGCAGCCTATGCATTAGTTTGTATTGATCTATGACAAAAAAAACAAATACATTGAAGTTTCTATTTTTAGTGTGACAAAATGTGGAAACGTTCAAGAGGTATGAATATCTTTGGAAGGCAGTGTAGTTGGATAAAATACATCCGCTCTCTCCAATTGTTTTACTGCCAGAGGGGAGGAGAAAGTCTAAGTGTTCACAGACAGATAAACACTGGATTGGCTTTGCCAAGCCTCCTGAATGCTTTCTGCAGATTGCAATAAACACTGGAAGGGATTCATCATATTTCTGTCACATCTAATATTTCAAAATCGCGTGGCTCATTCTGAAGAGAAGGTGGGGGCATCTGAAATCCCACGATTACACAGCAAAAAAGATTACAATGTGACTTGTGCGGTTGCATGCTGTAAGCCCCTGCGTGGCTGCAGCAAAGGAGATGGTGATTGTGTTTTACACTGATCTGAGGATTTTCAGGGCAGCTGGAGTGAGATGGGGATAAATTGGGGACAGCACAAAGAGACGGACACGCTGTCAGGGGTCGGGTTTATGCTATGGGGGACTGGCTCAGAAGCTTCAGGCTGAGAGAGGTTCAAACGGAGAGACAGGGTGTTAGCGGTAGAAGAATGCTGCCAAATTTCACCTCCCAAAGTCACATGTTAAATTTTGAGCTGCATGTTCCCAACATCGATAGTAAAAAAGGAAATTAATGAGTACAGCAGGTTCTCTGCTTTGTGCCTGAAAGAAACCCTTTGGTACGATTAAAATGTACTTTTTAGTTAGTGATGATTTCCAACATCTAAAGTACCACTATAGCTCTCCATTTCTCTTTTCTGTGAAAAATAAACATGCTTAATAAGGAGCCCAAATGAATAACAGTGTGCAACAATTTATTATAATTGCTCAAGATTATTTTACCACTTGCCGCCTGAATTTATTTTCAAATATAAAAATGTACTGGTTTTATTTTTGCTGTCGTTATAGCACATACAATAAATATAAATTTAACTGTAGGTGTGATGCCAATTAGCAACACTCAGCAAAATGTTGGCATGATAACAGATTTTTCTGTCTGCATTGTACAGTGTTTTGTGCAATACATTCTAGTCCTAACCAGCTTACGCCTAGGATGTTGTTTACAGACTGACCGAGAAATGACAGCCAAGTAGTTCCACTACAGTTCCAGGTATGAGTACAAAATGCATTAGCAGGCAATTTGAATGCATTAACACATGAAATAGTTTGAGTCGATTCCAGGTAAATAAATGTTATCACTCAATTCTGTTACTTTCACATTTATCAAAGAGGCACAGGACAGCATGAGAGACTTCTTTCAGCCAGCTGACCATCCGTGTGCAGAAATATGTAGGAAAGGCAGAGTACTGAACTACTCTATGCTTTACACAGCCAGCGCAAACTCTGTTCACTCCTGCACTGCCTCTAGCATTTCCTTCAAAGGACGTTTAACCAAAAATAACCAGAATACACCTCAGTGCTGAAAAATAAACTAAACCCACCAGAGGAAACACTTTTTTTAATTTTTTTTAAACATTGGTATCACTGTGGGACACTACATGACCCATGCCTTTAATCAGCTTCAATTTCTACATAAGTGCTATTTTTAGCCATGAAATAAACACTGGCTGGTCTGCTGAGTGTTCATAGCATTATGTTGGGTCAAAATACATGCTAAACCGTGTTGCTAGCAGCTGAGATTTAATCAGCTTTTAAATGATTGCATATTACCTAAATCCAATCAGTTATTCGTCATACATCACAAAATCTAAATGAAGGTTCCGAAATACTAGATGTGACACAGGCTTTAAGAGGAAATCAGCAGACGTGGCCTTTAAAAAGCAGAAATGAAAGTGATGATTCAGATGTGTGACAGAGTCATCAGACTGCATCCAGAAAAACAGATGAGACAGAAACAGAAAAACAGAACCAGAATCTGGAACATAAAAATCCCTGTCTGCTAATGAGTCTGAGTTCACACCACAGACTCTGTTTTCAAGTTTTTTTTATAATTGAAGGATTTGAATCTGTTGAAGCGTAAATTATCATGAATAATACAGGGAGTATTTATAATAGATGTAGAAATGTTGTTAAATATAAAATAGAAGTTGCTCTGAGGACATGCTCTTAGTACAATGATAAACTTTCACAAAAAACTTTATTGCAGCATTACTTAATCATGTAATGTGCCTTAGGTACACTACATATCCAGGAATATTTTGCAACCACAGATGCTTAAAATTTGATTATCCTGATTGGTTACTGATTTAATAATGCATAGTAGTTGTAACAGTAAAAACAACATTGAAACACAGTTTTCTTGTACATTTGAGGGTGTTGAAAAATATACTTGTTTATAAGTAACTTAACTGGACTCTATAGGTTTGTTCCATGAACTCCAACCTGGGAAAGTCACAAAAGTAAAGTACCTGGCCGACAGACAGCACCTAGCAATATGTTGCCAATATAAGACTGAGGTAACTGTTAAAATCTTGATCTATAGATTTTATGCCAGGCAGAAATTGGAAATAATCAACAATTGTCTGTTAAAAAGAACACCATGTATCACTAACAAAATCTAACTCGAATTTTTGACCATTACTGTGTCTTGAAATTACAAGGGTGATGAAGCTTATGCATGTACATCTCAATGAATCTCAATGAATAATAACATTGGAAGGTTAATTTATGTCAGCAAATTAATTCTCTCCAATCCCAACTTTAAATAATTAACTATTTAGAGTTGTGAGGACTAAATTAGCTGTATAATTTCCTGCTACATAACTGCACTGACTTTGGACCCAATAAATAGCAGCAGACCAACACCAGCAGATGAAAAGACTACCGAGTTCATCACTGACTGTAGAAACTTCATACTTTTTTTTAGGACCTTGATTTCCAAATTAAATGCAAAGGTCACTCTAATCTGAAAAGACTTCCAACAGTCTATCACATTTTATTTTTAACCCGGCTTTGACACTTACAACGTTGCTGCTGGTTCAGTTGTGACTTAACACAACCAAGTTAATAGTTAATTCAATGTTTTTGGAGAAATTTACTGTCTAGTGATGTTGCTCTTGAAGCAACATCACTAGACCGAGTAAATCTCTCCAAAAACATTGAATGGGTGTTGCTTTAAGATCCTCTCAAAACCGCAGCTGTCAATGTTGCTTGTAGATGACTTTTGATTACACTTTTTCCTGCCACTCAACTTTCCATTAAAGCCTTGTTTCTTTAGCAATGACCTTTTGTGGATAATGATTCTTCATGAAGGTGTCAGTAGTTGCTTTCAGCTCATTGTTTTGTTTCGTGACCTGCATGTTCTTTAAACTTCACCACAGATGGTTTGGCGGGGGTGAGGGGGCTGTTTGTTTTTTAACTGAAGAGATAACTACTATGTCTTGAAATATTTCTAAGAACACGACAGTCACAGTAAACGTTGAACTTTACAGGGCAGCCAGTGATGTGCAATGGACAGATAATTAATTCCAATTGTCACCCAATCTAAAATCTAAAATTAAAATTGTTGCTGGTTGATATTACGGTGCAATCAAAAGCAGAACTAGTTCATGTTCATATTCATGCATATTCATTACTTTATCTCATCTTGACTACTGCAACAGCCTTTTTATTACTCCTGCAGAAAAATCCCATGAATTTCATATATGAAAGATGTTGATCGTCTCCAGTCAGGTCAGAGCGCTGCTGCAAGACTTTTTACCAACACACAAAAGAGACTTTTAATCTCTCTACATTGGCTGCCGGTACATTTTAGAAATCATTTTATAATTCCAGTATTTGCTTTTAGAGCCCTTGTGGTCAAGTCTCAGCCAATTTCAGACCTGCTAGGACCCTACAGCACTTCTAGTGGTCTGAAATCTTCCAGATAAAGGATTTAATAGTTCCTCGAACACATTTTAAGAGCAGAGGGAGGCTCAAGACTTATGTATTCAGTCTGGTTTTTAACTAGTTTATGCTTGTATTATGTTTTATTATCTGTTTATGCTTTTGTCTTATGTGGTTTTAATGGGGGGTTTTCTATAGTAAAGCACCTTATGGTTTTCTGACCTGCAAAAGCGCCTAAATAAATAAAATGTACTTAACTTTCTAATGCATCTGTGTAACATATTAAGTAAATCAATATATGTATTTTTTTTCAATGATCTACTTAAATTTATGCAGATTTTCCTATATAATGATCAGTCTTATATACAATTGTAAGCATTGGTGTCTCATAGATTGAATAAAACTGAAAAAGTAATAATATAAAAACGCAACTAAAAAGGAACATAAAATTGATTTATAATCTATAAACTACGTATTTTTATCACAGTAATAGTTAAAATTATTTTAACAGACAAAATTTCTGTCCAGCCTAAAATCTATCAGTTGAAATTGTACCTATTAGTTAGCTGTTAAAACGCACTGAGATTTGAGCCTGACTTTTGATTGATTAAATGTTCTTCATGAATTTACTGAGAAACACTTCTATTGCCACTTTATTTAGTTTTCAAATACATTTTTCTTTATCTTTTTAAAATGTCATCTCTTTAAAGAAAGCGCCCAGCCTCTCTGCCTTTTGAACATTGTAAGCAAACCGAGCATTTCTTTAGTCATCACAGACGTTGAGTTTACATTCTTGTTGGTCATTAAAGCATGCAAACACAAACTTACAGTGACACCAGCCCAAGTGGCAGCACCAGTGCAGCTTGAAGCACTTCCCGTGGCTGTGCGTCGCGCAGATGGAGAGTCCATCACACGGCAGGAAGTCTGGTCTCCCCGCGCAGCTCTTGGCCAGAGCCTGCGCCTCGTCCAACTTCTCACTCTTCGGACACTTATGAGCTCCCGAGGCGGCCATGCCAACATTTCCCGGATCCAATTTTGTTTTCAAAACGCACGCACGGTATGTTGGAGTAAAACTAAAACCGATCCGAGAGGTTTTTCACGGTCCACGCAGCCAAGGAAGCTTTGTAGAAAAGGGGGGGTCGGGGAGGGGGGGTGGATAGATGCTGCTGGGTCTTCTGAATCTAGATCAGCTCGGTCAGTGCTCACACAAAGGGTGGCACAGCGTTCTGTGGAAGTACAAACGACGGGCAATGTCACATTCGAAGCCTCCCGTGATCGTGATCCACGCATCTCCCCATCTCTCGTGCCGTGGCGTGGCGTCGGGGAAGCTCCTCAGCTGTGCGCGCTGCTTTGGTGACGCGCATCCGAACTTCATCACAGAAACGGGAGGAGCCCCGCGAACACAAAGCCAGCTGCTGTGCGCACTTCAAACGCCACAACCAAGGGCTTTCATCAGCTCCTCACACAACTTCAAAGATCAAGGCTTGAATATGAAATCCGTCGTCTCCAACAAACCTTAAAGAACTGGACTTTAAAAGTGTCGATTTGTTCAGGATGTATTTTAATTAGCCGTAATTAAAAGCCACGGAGCATTCCTTAAAAGAAAACAGGCTACGTGGGTGGAATCGTGCAACCAATCAAATAAAGGATGCAGAAAATGGTTAATAATGATGAAAATAGCGGCATTGTAAAGCAAAAGATTCCAGCTGATCTCCAGCCGCTAGGGGGCAACCCTAACACCTGCTCAGGACCGGACGTCAGATTGAGATTTACCTGGAATGAGCCATTGATTTATGTTAAAGCAGTTTAAAGCTGCGGGTCTCCCTCTGTTCCTGCTGAAGCTGACCCAGCAGAAAGCAGGAGATACAAACCGCAAAAAGGAAACAAGAAATGAGCTTCTTTTAATCAAATAAAAACAGCAAGCAGGATGGAAAGAAACACCATTATTCTGAAAAGTACACATACATATATTGTGTGTATGCTTTTATTCAAGACTTTGGTCATAAGCCACATGTTAGAAATATACATTACAAGTCATAATTCAAGAAAACGGGTACATCAATGAGACTTTTCTCACATTTTGTCAGATTGCAATCACAAACTTCCATGTTTTTCTGTTGGATTTTAATAGAATAAACCAACACAAAGAAGGTGCAATTGAAGTTACACATCAGTTTCTTTTTACCATCTTACCAGATGAGACCAATATTAGCTAACTCTGCACTTCACCCTTAACACAACATCCATCAGTTAAACATGGTAGTGGCAGCATCATGTTGAGGGGAGAAGTCTAACTCAGCAGGGTCGAGGAACCACCTGGTAATAGTTGATGAGAAGTCAAACATCTTGCAATGGACTTCAAACTGGGAAGGAGGTTCAGTTTCCAGAAGTAAGAGTATCCATGCCAAACTTTTCAGATGTTTATAAAAATGTCTACTTCTACACATTTTTATGCATGACTTTGTTTTGGTTTATTCCAATTTAATCCCTCCAAAAATGGGGGGGAGGGGGGGGAGAAAACAGGCACTTTATATCAAACGTTGCAATTTCTTAGGAATTTCTCTTACTGAACAATGAATTAGTTTTGTACACCTGCAGTCTTTTAGTGTTAAGGTATATTAGTGCATTAGACTTTTTTTTTCCTAGTATCAACATATTTTCCTGTTTGTACTTTCTGCTACTATAGTTTGGTTACCTTTGTGATTAAATATTTCCTTTGGTTTATTCCTGTCATTTCTAAGTGCAAATTGAAACACTTCTAACCAGAATGTGAAATCACAGTCAGCTGATATCACTGCTGTTCTGTATAAGGTTTGACAGGACTGCAGGATTTAATGTTGTCAAGTATGTCATTCATGCATCATCCTGTTCAACCCATCCAGTGTAATGAATAGTGCGGTTTCAACATAGTGTTTCATTAGGCCCCTTTTGCACATGTGCAACAGTCTGTATTTATAGAAACAGCAATATGTTCAATAGATTGTGGAAGAGAATGATAAAAAAAACTTCTTTTTTTCCCCATTACAGCCTCTGATTTAGAGACTCATAACTTAAAGCTCCACCAAACCACAGAGGAGGTTCTTCTCTCCGCCAGCCGTCCACTAAAACGATTTTTCCCTATTTCTGCCGAGGCTGCAGATATAACTTTAACAACCTCAACAATTTACTCCCATTGCTGTTACCTTACATTTAAATGACTGGTGATCCGCATCTAATAACACACTGCTGGAAAAACCACTGGGAATTTCATAGACTCAATTATGCTTTTATTTCATTTGGCTTTGCACATTTCTTATTCGCTTAATGTTTTGTTATTGTTTTTAGAAGTGCAGTCAGTTCTGCATTCAGAATATGTAATTTTAACTCTACTTTTTCTCCAAACAGTGCTTCAGGTTATTAAATTAAAGCATAGCACCGACAAAGCTCAGATTCTGATACTTCAAGCTGGATGCGCAACTTATGTAGACAAAAATATCTTGCGAGGTGAAAATTTTTATTGCTATGGTTTGTTCATCTTTGAATCTCTTAGAGGGCCCACTATATGCATAATAAAGCAATTTATTTCCACAGTATAAGTGTGGTGACACACACATTTGCAGACTATTTACTTTCCTTTCTCAAAATGATCAGAAAACAACTTGAAGACACCAAAGACTTTTTGGAAATTATTCTGCGGACGGACAAGGTAAAAGTGGAAATTGTTTGGCAGGTGTTTGACTCATTACATTTCACATAAAAACAAAATACAGCATTTCAGAAAAAGTTACAACTCTAATTTAACAAAACCTGGAAAGCAAATGCCCCGCCGATTTGTGCTGTTAAAATGAAGTCCATTTGGTAACATGGTCCAAGACAATGTTACCAAGCATGTCTCAAGGTTTTGTAGTGGTCTAGTCAAAGTCTGGATCTAATTCTGATTGAGATGAAATAGTATGGTCTTAAACAGGCAGTTCAACATGAACTCTTTAGCAGGCCATTTCTTTTTCCCACAGGGCCAGGTTAACTGGAGATATTTGGTATGGCTGATATTAAAATATGATTTATGTTTTAAAGATTTAAGTATGACAAATCTGTTATATTTAATTTCTGTAGGTTCTTCAGCTTTTATTTGAATAAATTAAACCCTCTAAACGACTGTTACGTTTGCATTGATAAATACAAAGCAAACAGATGACGAGAGTGATTTAATGCATCGTATCAAAGCTACATGTGAGTGCAAAGTAAATATACATTAATTTGGTTAATTAGCAATGTAATTAATAAAATCTGCTGTCACACTGGAGGTGAGCTGAAGTTTAAAGCTGGCTGCGGGGTTTCTGGATGACCTCCCTCCATTTGTGGATCGCTGGGTTGCCGCTGGCTGCCAGCTTCCGGAGCAAGCTGCAGGGCTGCAGGCCTGGAACATCAGGGTGGATCTGCTGGTAGTGTTCCAGCCTCTCCACAACCTTGTCTAGACCCACCTGGCCAGCGTAGAACATGGGACCCCCGCGGTGGCGGGGCCAGCCATACCCGAGCACATAGATGACGTCGATGTCTTCCGGTCCTGCGGCGATCCCGTCCTGGAGGATCTGGAAGCCCTCGTTGATCAGCGCGTAGAGGCAGCGCTCCAGCACCTCCTGGTGGTCGATGTGACGTGCCACCAGGCCGTGCTGGGCTCGGTACTCCTCCAGAAACCCGTGCAGCCAAGGGTCGGGTTTAGCCACACGGCCGCCGGGTTTGTCGTACTGATACCACCCTCTGCCTGTTTTCTGACCAAACCTTCCGCGCTCACACAGCAGGTCTCCCAGAGGGCTGTACCTGCTGCCGCCTCGGATTCTAGCGGACGTTCCCGTAGAGGCGGGCGAAACTAAACCGTCCGCCTTCCTGACCTTCCAGCCAACGTCCAGCCCAGAGAGGTCGGACACTTTGAACACACCCATGGCAAACCCAAACTCTTCCAGCACCTGGTCCACCTGCTCAGGTGTGGCTCCCTCTTCCAACAGGAAGAACGCTTGTTCCAAGTACGGCTTTAGCATACGGTTTCCCACAAATCCCCGACAGTTTCCAACTGCAACACTCACTTTTCCCATCTTCTTCCCCATCTGCATGGCGGTGGCCACGACTTCGGGGGATGAGCGCGGCCCGTAGACCACCTCCAGCAGCTGCATGACGTGAGCTGGCGCGAAGAAGTGCATCCCGACCACCAGTTCTGGACTCTGGGTTTGAGAAGCCAGCTCGTCTATGTCGAGCCCAGAGGTGTTTGTGCACAGGAGCACGCCTGGTTTGCATATGGCCGACAGCTGCTGGAAGACGGTTTTCTTCAGAGCCATGTCCTCAAACACGGCTTCAATGACTAGGTCAACATCTGCCACAGCCTGGACGCTGCAGCTGTACTTGATTTTATCGTGTGCCAGGGGCACCCCTCGTCTCTTGGCCCCCCTCTCCAACATGCCAGACACCGCCTGCTTTGCCTCCGACAGCTGTTTCTCCTGGGTCTCCACGGCAACCACAGAGAACCCTGCTTGGGCCAGGGACACAGTTATACCTCGACCCATGGTGCCAAGCCCTTAGAGGATAGAAATCATACGTTTAAACAGTAAATATTTCATCCACAAATCAGTTCTATAAAAATTTAAACAGTTTAATTAAATCAAGCAGTGTGAAGATTTCTTTCTAAACAGGCCGTTGAGTCGAACATCCAAATTGTCTGGAATCCAAGCCTCCATGCAGAGAGCAGCTACTCCACTCACTAAACCGGGACTATCAGCCTAATTTCCCTGGGTGGGATGGGATAGATGGAAAAATGAATGGACAAGTCTTAAAATACATGTACATCTAAAAAAAATTGATTATTGTGAATATGTTTATTTTTTTCTCTCACTCATTTCAGAAAGATGAACTCATTAAATAGATTCAATACACATAGGTTAAATATTTCAATCATTTATTTCATGGAATTTTGATGCCTAAAAGTCAAAATTCTATGTCTCTGAAAATTAGAATTTTGTGAAAAAAATAATAATAATAATAAAGTTATAGCATATTAGTGGATGGAAAATCTGTGACATAAAAATGTGCACCAGCAGCAGGGGTAACCGCAGCCTTCAGAGCGTTATCAAGAAAAATCAATTCAAGAATTTGAGGGAGCTTTCTGAAGTGGACCGTGCCAGGTTATCTGCTGGTGTCGGTCCACTGTGTTTTCTGAAGTTCACAGTTAATTCAGCCGTCTACCAGGAAATTCTAGAGCATTTCACGCTGCCTTCTGCTGACGAGCTGTATGGACGTGGTCATTTTATTTTCCATCAAGAATTGGTACCTGCCCACATTGCCAAAGGTACCAAAGGCTGGTTCAATGACCATAATGTTCCTGTCATTGGTTGGCCAGCAAACTCCCCTGACCTGAACCTCATAGGAAATCTATGTTATGTTGTCATGAGGAACCAACAAGGAAGATGACTGAAAGCAGCCATCAAAGCAACCTGGGCGTCCATTAGCTGCAGGTCGCCTCCCTCCCCTCCGCAAAATGAGCCCCAACCAAGTATTTAGAGGATAGAAATTGACATACTTTGACATTTTTGTTTAAAAAAAAATGTCAAGTATATTTATTGATCATACATAATATATTTATTTTCTGGGATATTAAATTTTGGGTTTGTAAGCCATATTTATCAAATTGCATGAAATAAAAGTCAGAAATATTCCACTCTGAGTGTAATCAGTCAATAAAGAATATGGAAGTTTTGCTTTCTGAAATGAACGGAATTTTTTTTAAAACAATCTCCAAATTTGATAACATGCGCTTGCACAAAGATTTTTCCATGCTTATCCAGACGTGTTACCTACTTAAATCCAACTTCATATTTTTCCAGACTGCTCAGGTACCTTGTTC